TGTTGAAGGCTGTTATTACAAATATGAAGTTTTCCATTCTCAAAGCTCAGAGAAGCTGTGGCCAAGAGGGTTACAACTTGCAAGTCTGGTCTGCCATTAGGAAGTACAAGATTTGAATTCTGGGCAGCTCCAAATTATTCCCCCCGCCTCCCCTCCCCCATTCTTCTTCTTTGCATTCTCCTGCTAGATCTCAGGGGTGTTTGACTGCTGAGATATTTCTCCACTTCCTTGGGATATACATTTGCTCTCAGCTTGTATCGTGAAAGGCCATCAGCTTCCATCACTCTCAAACTGACCTGCAAGGTGTAGATCTATAATACGACTTTGAGCATAAAGAGCAAACGTTTTACTTTTTGAAAAAAAGGTATTTCAAGGATAATTTATTTGGGAAACAGTCTCATTTTCCAAAGTTATCTTATAATCAAAATAATAATAACATTAATTATAAAAATAATAATAATAATCATCATCATCATCATCCTCAACATAATAATAATAAAAATAATAATAGTCGATGATGGAAGTGTGAATATTGTCAGGGGAGTGAAAAAAAGATCAACTCATCCTAACTTCAACTTAACCGTTGGGACCTGTATAAAGGAGAAGTGGTGCTGAGACCTGACAAACAGATCAACTTAACCGAAGATCAACTAAAACAATTTCAACACAAGCGAAGTCGGCAGTAAGATCTTACCTCCCTGCAAAGCTACGGCCGCAACACGGTTTGTGATGGAGACCACCATTGTCACATGGTACCTGAGGGCGAGAGGAGAACGCAATCCGCAATCTATTTTTCAACAGTTTATTCCGACAGAAGATTTGACAGAACGATTGTAAGTGAATGTAAAAATTGAATGCCATACCTAAACAGGAGAAACAAGCTTTTGAGGACCCTTTAGAGACGCTAAATAGGGTCATACAAGCAATTCGAAACAGACTTTGAAGCTCTCTCAAAAAAAATTTTTTTTTTAAGAGAAAAAAAAGCCCACTGCAACTTAAACTTGGTTGCCATCTGTTGCAACATACCTTTATTCAAGCCACTAACATCATGATCTCCAAAACTTATGTTTCAGCATGCAGTTACACCCATTACAAACTGGGCAGTCAATATTTTTAATTAGTACTACCAGCAATCATTCAAGCCTCATGCATGACAGCACTGGCTAAAAAAGTAACAACACCACTTACTGGACCACTGTAAAAAAGTAACAACACCACTTACTGGACCACTGTAAAAAAGTAACAACACCACTTACTGGACCACTGTAAAAAAGTAACAACACCACTTACTGGACCACTGTGTAAAAAAGTAACAACACCACTTACTGGACCACTGTGTAAAAAAGTAACAACATCACTTACTGGACCACTGTGTAAAAAAGTAACAACATCACTTACTGGACCACTGTGACGTGAGGGGACAGGGGTCGGTTCAACTGACGGTTCTTCACCCAGTATGTGTTCATCTCTTCATAGGCCGAGGGACGAGTGGCCAGGGTGGACCTGAGGACAAAATAGTTCAAAACAAGTAACAGTAAGATCAACTTTACCGTGCTCTAAAACAAAACAAACTAAAATCAACGGTGGAAATTTTGTTAGTACAGCATGTTGCTCAACACCATGCTCCATCTAAAAATACCTACAATTTATTCAATAAAATGCATTCTTTTCAACACAGCCATTAGTTTACATTATAATGTGCATTTCAAACACTACCCGGTGGGTGGGGAAACAAATAGTCTGCTGTCTCAAAGTCCTCTCCCTCTCCAGCACTCATTTTACAGGAAGGACTGCGTACCCACCACCATATGTTTTTACATATCACTACCCGGATTCGAACCCGGGACCTTTGAATGAGAGGCATACACCTTAACCTCTAGGCCACGAGAGCCCCGGAAACAAATCTTTTTACCTTCTTAAAGTTTAAAGTCAAATAAAAGTGAAAATAACTCAACATAAACATTGATTTAATTAAGAGAGGGGAGAAGGAGTGGAGTAAATAAAAAGCAATTTGAGAAGTTTACAAGGAACAAGGCAAATACCATAATAAGTGCATCATACTACTGTGCAACAGTATTTATGAGCCGCCTCAGATATTCGTTTAGTTGCAGTGTATTTCTTACAGAGTGTGTCCTTACAGCATTCCTTTCTTACCTTCTTGGTAAAATGCATGATGGCTGCCTCAGCAAGCATGATCTTCCCAAAGTCCTGGAAATAGTAAAAGTAAAATGTTTTTTTCCAACATCTAATCCTGAGAGTGAGAGAAAAACACAGTGAATTTATGTCCATTATTACATATATATCACAAGCTGTAAGTAAATAAACACTGATAGATCAGAGTACATGAAAGAGTTTCTATGAATTTAAAAAGAAGGCGTTTCTTTATATATATATACAGTTGAACCTGTGTAAGACGGAATTGCAAGGGAGCCCCAAAAAAATTCCGTCTTAGATATTTTATAATGATAATGTCTTAGACAGGGGAATTTAGCCACAAGATTTGAGAGAGGGGGGGTTCAAAGGCCCAGCTGGTGGGATCAAGGGTCGCTCATCCAGACGGCAAGCAATCACAAGTGGTCAAAACTTCACATCTCTCAGCTGCTATACATAGATCCTCTCTGATAATGACATGCGTCAGTCTTATTTATTCAATAATTAGGTTACCACCAGTGCTTGCATTTATAATTTATTTCATAGGACCACTGTTTGGCCCATTAAAAACAGAAACATGTGAACATCTCCTTTGCTTCCACCCTTAGCCCCACCCATCTGTGTAATAAGTAATAAGCACAGTCAACCAATGCCACCCCTCAGTGCCATGTAACAACGATTCGAGGAACTCTTTTCTCGGCTGGCTGTACGATCAGGGCGGCAGGCATTGTTTAAACTAATTTCAATTTCACACCTCTGGCCATCAATGGAAGTTTACGTACTGGAGCGCCACTCGAGCACTTTCACTGGCACTTGTGAGATTTCACTTCCACACAACCCTCTTCATCGCTCAGGGCTCACGTAGATGGGGTAATATCTTCCCCCAAATTGCACCCCTACTCCCCTTCCTCGCCTGGCAGTATGGTGTTAAGTTTAGAGCCGGCGGAACCAAACTTGCGAGTTTTGTTTAAAATCAGGGCTGGTTGGGCAAAGCATTTTCCGTCTTAAACACATAAAACCCTCGGAAGGAGAGGATTTTTTTTCCGTTTCCGTGTTGGACAGGTTTCCGTTTTACGCAGGTAATTAAAGAGGACAAGGGGGGAGCCGGGAGATTCCGTTAAGACAGGTTTCCATTTTACACAGGTTTCCGTTAAGGCATGTCTACAGACTCAACTGTAGATCTAGACTATAGATCTATATAACATTGTTGGCATCTTCTTTTAAAATTTGTTTTCATCTCATGTCTTCAATCTTCTTGAAGTTAATCAAGCCTGATCATGTTGTGGTATGAGGTTAATTAAAATATGAATTTTAAAAAAAAAATCCTATATATTGCACTCACTCCCAATATCCTGTCAGCTGAAACTGAGGCTGAGGGATAGGCCTATAGATCACTCCCAGTGACAAGCAAGCTTGGCAAAGTGTTACAAACAGGGAAGTAATACGTATTTACTAATTATAAATACTTTTATCTTCGGTTGTTTCCCTTCGATTGAGATTTACAAGATAAACTTGCTTTCGTAACAACGTGCATTTTTCAAGCACATTTTCCATTGTCAAAACTTCAAAACTTTAGTAAATTTTACACCAAATGCTTCCAGTGGAAACATCCATTGTGCCATTGTAATAGCAATGTCATTATTGAGCAAATGTCTCATTTTAGGGCAAGAAAACAGAACTTTAGCCTCTTTCCTTCTTCTTGACTTTGACTCTGTGGGACATTTGTCCGCTAGCAAACTCAGTTGTGGTGTAACCTCAAAAGAAATTTTACTGTCCTTTTCTTACCATTTTACGGTTAAGAAACAAATTGCTGGATACTGAAGCTAAATTTTCCTCCATATAAAACAGATTCTGACCAAATATATTAATACACAAATAGAAAAACTATTATTTAGCTCACCTCAAAGCGAGTGCCATGTCGGTGTGTTGACGCAGTGCAGTAAGCAAGTTGTACAACTCCACGAATTTCTTTCTGCTTGTTTGCTTCTAAGACTCACAGTACCCTCAAAGTTAAAGAGTTCTTTTACTTCGTTCTTAGTTCAAGTCGCAAAATATGTTCTTGGCAGGTGTTTTCATACCCAGCCTAGCCTCATATAATATTTTGTCGTGGCCGCGATTTTTAGCATTTTTTTGGTCTGCATATCACGGTACCGATTTTAGCATATAAAAAAAAAGAAAAGCTATTTCATAACCTATACTAAAACGTATTTTGATAATTTTGAACGTGTCCATCTGTAGTTATTTTCATGCGGAGAATATAAGTACACATTATATACATTACTTTTTATATATTGCTGCTTGTCTTTATTTTCCCTCTTTGTTGAGTTCTATTTTATTAATGTGTTAATTTTTTTAAAAATTGTTCTGCACGTTGTTTTTCTTTTTTTTTAAATTTGCGTGTTTACATAGCGTACGGAATATCTCTATGTCATTTAATTTGATACTGTTCCTACCTTTTCAAAAATATAGATGTGTTATGTTAGAAGGTGTCTCCACCAAAACCGAATACTGACACTGGCACACACGCCCCTTGTGTGTGATTCATAATTTACCTGTAATATCCTGTAGGCGTACTTTTTCTTGAATTACACTCGTTTAGGGTTAAAACGGCCAATCTTCGGATAGGTGGACACGTGCCGCGCTTTATTTGCTTAATTTTTGTGGTTATTTATGTGCTGTTCTAATTTTGATTTCATTCTGTGGTGAAACCTTTATTTTTTCCCTTTTTTACACTCTGTGTGGCTACAATTAAATGATACTCAGAGCACAAGTAATTCTGGTGCTTATTATAATTACCTCTATCAAAATATTGCTTTATACGTCGTCACATATAGAAAGCTTGAAAATTAATGGCAACTTTTATGGCAACTTTTGCCTTTTGGAAACTTTTGGACAAAAAATGGCAACAAACGCAGATGCTAGTCTGATATGGGGAAACACCTGTAAGGAGTACTATACAGATGATACAGTACTCCTTGGGAAGAAGATAATATTGCCAAGCACAATAAAAGTAACCGAAGTATCGATTTATGAGATTTATGAATGTAATTTGTTCTCATTTACCTTGTTGGAAAATGGGTGAAATTAGAATTTACAAGCATCTCAATTTTTGGTCAGTCTATCATGACAGCGGAAATCTGATTAGATCTAGATTTCTGGGTGCTTTGAATTTTTTAAATACATGGTATAAATAATAGGTAGCCTAGCCTAGCCTAGCCTAGTACTATGTATAGTGCAAAGATCACCATGCAATCAAGCGGCATTGCGATGTAGATCTAGGCCTACTTCTTGAGTTCTTTTCTTGCTCTTCTAAAGAATTTCTGAAAGCAAACAAATATTTTCATTTTAACACCCCCCCCCCCCCCCCCCAAAAAAAAAAATAAAAAAAATTAATTAATAAATTAAATAAATAAATAAATAAAAAGCCAAATCTTTTATGATGAAAAAATATACAACGCTAAAATATTCTAACGACTTTTCGCACCTACTTGGATTCGTATTTTCTATTTTCCATTGTGGAAGTCTTTAAAAAATAATTCAACATGGCGTTGCTTGTGAGGTAGGTCAAGACAATCTTTCATTGTAATATTTAAACGTGTATATTAATATATTTGTTGCAATAAAGAGCTCATTAGATTATTTTCTATTTTAAGTTGTTGTTTTTTTGTTAATACAACTTATAATAATGACTTGACCCGAGCCTGAGAAGACAGCTGATCTTCACTCGTACTGAAACCGAGATAATTTCGCCTTTCCTGCTTTGTTAACAGCTGACCCTTCTCTTCGGTCAAATGTGTGCCTGTTGTGTTTTAATGTTGGTGAGTCTACGGTAGGATCCATATTCAGTCGCATAGATTTATTACCATTAAGATTTGAGGTTGTTCCTTGGTTTTTTATTTATTGTAAAGGCCTGTAGTGTGCACATACACCTGCCTGGAGCGATGTGGGTCAACAAACCCTTGTGAAAGCCAATGACGGTTGAGTGACCTTAACCTTCAACTTCTTAGCTTTCTCCGTTTGATGAGTTAGCCCTATAAAATAGATATATCCTGCCGTAACCACTTAAAAAAAACACCCACCTATTGCTGGGTTACTATAGATTTGAGACTGGACTATACTCATCATTCCTTTTTAACCGGTTTCTTTTCATTCCAACCACAACTCAAGTCAAGGCTTGAAGGAGCCACTTTTCTTGAACTCTGCTGTCTTTCTCTGACTGTAAAAATTAGGCTACCCCCTTCCTCTCCCCCACAACTCTTTTATTTGTATTCATGGGAAATGATTGAGTCTTTTTTGTTTGCCTCTTCTTGTCTTATTGAACATTTATATATGATCTCGACTCTTTTCTTTTCAACCGCTTTCTTTCTATCATTTCATATCTAGAGAAATTCTAGATCTAGATCTAGACTAAATCTAGATCTAGATCTAGTTTTATTCTGTAACTAAAGTAGGCCTAATTTAATAAAATTTTGGTATAAAATTTTCTCTCCAAATTATTTTAGACTTTTTGTTTCTTATCTCTGAGTCAGAATCATTTTATTTTATTGACCTTTTTTTCCCTCTGATATCAAATACAACTTTTCTTGTTGTTTTTTTCCTCTCAGGTCCTTAGGTCGGCAGACATGCCTTCTGAAGCAAATGCCATTATTGGCTGCACGAAGGTAAGGCTAATTTTTTTGTAAAGTATGTTTGTATGCCACAGTAAAAATTATTATAGACTAATAAAGAGATTCTTCTTTGAAGAAAATGTCTGGTTTTCATAATTAAAATTGGGTGAGCTCCTGGAACGAAGCCCATAGAAAAAGTCATCGTTGTTTTCAATAAAACTTTCTTTATTTTATTTTACTATTGTAAGTACATACATGTATATCTTTTGTTGTTGGAAAAAGAACTTTGGTATAATAAATGTTTTACACTCCCATCGACAGAATGTATTGAGATCATTTTAGAGACACACCTTTTTGACTTACCTTGTCAGGACCATCTTAGGTTAGGGTATTTGAATCTGTTGATGGGACATATATATATATATATTAATCAAAGTGGAGAGACATGCAGACACTTCCAAAAAAAATGTGTTTCCCCACTCAAGAATTGAACTCAAATCTTTTGTAGGCAAGGCTTTGAGTTTTCCCCTCACACGTCAGATGCCAGTGGTGTATAAAAGTCGCAGTGTGTAGAATATTTTAAAATCATTATGTCAAAAAATAGTTTAAGTTGATATATATATATTATCAATATTAGCCTGCAGAGGATCTAGGTCATAAAACTAGGTGGGTACATGGTTGTTTCTATTGCCTTACACAAAATGTATCCCTCTTGCTGTACAATTTTAATCCTGTCAGGTCAAACAAGGCCACAACAGCGTATGAAGAGATGAGTCGCTTCTGGGCCCGCAACCGTGCCCTTAAACGCCCCCTGTCCCCATTCCTCACAGTGTACAAGTAAGTATGTACCGAGAGCTTTGACTTAACGGGAATCTTAAGTATCAGAGTGTGCGGACAGTGCATCGTGCTCGGCAGTTGCTACTTGTTTTTGCATTTCAGACTTCAGCACACAGCATAAATCTTGCCATCACCTGCAGCTTTAGGGTGGGAAAGATGAGTCCAAAACACACACATTGAAGAACTTTGCGAAGCTCTATTTCAAACAGACAAACTTTGTCAGAGTAGAGACAAAGAGTGAAAAAAATCCAGCTATGCTATATATACAAGTGCAGGATAGTTGATCTCAATCTAGGTCAGTTGCAAAATGACAACTTCTTTCATCCGTGCCACAAAAGCAATGTTTGGAAAATGCTGGTTTTAGCTTTGCCAACTCCTCAAAATATTCTATGACTCTGAATACACTCATGTCTGTCCAAGACGAACACCCATTGTCATCTGAGACAGGTCTTTCTCTTAGTCAGTGTTATTTATAAATTAAATAGATAGGTACTCAAGGTGGGACTTGGAAGGGGTTGTTTGTGTAAGAGCTTGTCTTGTACGGGTGATTATTTGAGCTAGTTGGAGTTTAATTGTGGCTTATTTTGTTCTTTTAAGCTCGTAAGAGTCAATGTTCACCTATTCTTTTAGTTGTATAATATTGTTATTTTAATAGATGGAGAACTGAAGTTTGACTATAAAAGCATTTGTAAAAAGACGAAAGAAGGGAATGGCTCTGGTTGATTGTCTGATTGTGTGTCATATTACAATTTATTAAAATTGTTTCCCAAGCATATATTGGGGAAAGAATGGTTTATGATATGGCAGACAAACTTTTGGAGTCTTTATTTCTTTTTAAAATTTCATTTTATTTATCTACTGCGTTAAGGATATTTTATAGAGTTTGATGTGATTGGTGTGTTTCATCATTGCCTTTAAAAAATAATTGTGAATACAGCTATGTACATATATGTGGGTTTTTACCATATCAAAACGTAACCACAAATTTTTCTCCATTATCAGACCTCATCTCGCAATGATGACCTCACTGACGCATCGAGTGACAGGTGTGGCCATGCAAGTTGGTGAGTAAATTCCTCCTTGTATTGGACCGGTAGTACTCTTCTGTGGTCAGTCTCTTTATTTGTTTTGTCATTTTGTTAAGCTGGACCTGCCATGTTGATGATGCAGATTTTTAAAGTGGCATCTGTTCTCATTTTTCACATAAATACCCATGCTCCCTCACACATACTCTCGCGTATGTGTATGCGCGCGCGCACACAGACCTACACTCACACACACACACAGAGAGACATGTGTCATCGCCACAGTCCCAGTCCCACTTAACCACTCATCTTTCTCTATCTCTCTCCAACCCTACCCTCCCCAATCTTGACATTTATAATTTATATGCTATTTGACTGAAGTCTCGCAGGTGGTTGGAGGGAGCCACTGGTTGGTGTACCCCCTCGGGGTGGTGCCACTGACTGAAGTGTCTTTAGACCATTCCCAAAAGGGCGGCATTAACATGTTCTTATGCAAAGTAGAATTGTAAATGGGCTGATTCATCGATATCATGCTCAGAACTGTGCCTTTCCTAATCCTTACCATCGTCATTTTCATATTTTCCCTCTACTTCTTTTGTATGTTTGTCACACTCTTGTGACCCACTATTTCCGGGGTGCCTTGATAGTCGAAGCAGACTTTGTGCTGTTGAAGCTAAAGAGGTGAGCAGAGTAAGTCTGATTCCCTGTAAGGACTTCTCTGTTGACATCCACCCCTTGGCGCTCAAATGACCTCATGCAGTTACGAGTGCCGTAAGACCTCTACAAAACAAACTGGTTGGTCTTTCATCTTTTCTTTCCCTCTATTGCATCTATCTCTCTTGTTTCATCCCTACATTACATACTGTTATTGTGTCGTTGTGCTTTTCTCTACTCAATCTCAAACGGAGGCCTCATCAGTAAAATGTGTATGCTTTATACCTCGGTACGTTGACAAAACACCTTTTTTTTATTCACAGCGGTTTCGTGAAATCAACTTTTTTAGTTTTTCTTATAATATTTAAACTATTTTGCACTGTACATCTACGTTTGATCTCGCACCCTGAAGAGAAATGTTATTACCTGTGCTCAACAGATGTTATAAGAAAATCGAAAGTTGCGGATTTCTCAAAATTGCAGTAAATAAGAGAAAGACGTTTTGTCAAGAGTACTGCAGTATATGGGTTGTGGGCCATTTGCCTAAAGCACGGAATGAAATACCCACCTACCTACCTACCTACCTACCTAACCCCCTACCCTCTTCCTCCCCCCTCTATCAGTGATCTGCGGCACGTCCATCATCCTCCTGTGCGTTCCCGGAGACTTCAAGGACAACCTGGAGCTGCTCAAGAACCTGAGCCTGGCCCCCGTTATCGTCTACGGCCTCAAGTACATCTTCGCCTTCCCCGTCACTTACCACTTCCTCAACGGCATCAGGCATTTGGTGAGAGTCTCTTTCTCGTGAAGTAAACACTTGTTATTGATTGACAGGTGCTCTGGTGTCGTTTGCTCCTTCTTTCCTATCCATGCTTTCAGTGTTCCGTATTTTTACAGAAATCCGCACTTGCTCCCGAATCATTATCAACTCTATCTGTTAAAAAAGTGCGATATTGTAGGGCTACCGAAATTACGTGGCTGAGGGTCCGTACTCGCCTTCGTATCATCATGTATGAGCTACGGATATTGACTGTAATTCTCTCGACAATAGGTTAATGTTATAAAACCTACCATATTGTGCATTTCTTGCAATCAGTCATTTTCCAGCTATGCATTCATTGCGGGTTGGTCTGCAATACATTTTTACCTGCGAATTGATCAAAATCTGGCCAGCCATCATAGGGAACTTTTTGTGCCAATTTCCTCCTTTCTTTCATTCACTCATTCTTTCTGCTTTTACACATTGCCAGCAATAGAAAGATTTGTAGGTGAAGAATTTGTGGGTGTAAATATCCATCTCTGAACTCACACCCCCCCGGGGCAGTGCCACTGACTGTAGTGACCCCCCAGGGCAGTGCCACTGACTGAAGTGTCTTTAGGCCATTCCCCGCGGGGCAATGCCACTGACTGAAGTGTCTTTCGGACATTCCCAAAGGGGGGACATTTCTAGTTCATGCACAGTAGAATTGTAATTGGGCTGACTCATCATGTCATGCTCATAACTGTGCCTGATCTACAACAGTGAACTGCTGCTTTTTCTTTCCTAATCCTTACTATTGTCATTTTTCCTCTACTTCTTTTGTATGTTTGTCACACTCCTGTGACCCGCTATTTCCGGGGTGCCTTGATAGTCGAAGCAGAACTTGTGCTGTTGAAGCTAGAGAAGTGAGCAAAGGAAGTCTGATTGTGTGATTCCCTGTAAAGGCTTCTCTGTTGACACCCTCCCCTTGACACTTATATGACCTTATGCAGTTGCGAGCGCCGTAAAACCCTCTGCTAAAAAAAATTAATCTGAACTCACAAAGTTTTATTTAAAAAGTTATGTATATTTGCTCCCTTTGGATTAGAACTCGACACTTACCTCCTTGCCTGCTTCGCCTAAACCCAGTTCACAGTGCAGAAAGTCTCGTCAAATCTCCATTTGATGTTGTTTGATAGATTTGAGGTCAGCACAGTTTCCCTTCATGGAGGGGCAAAAACTGCCAAAGTCTTTTGGCTCAATTCGATGAGATCTTCCAGGATCAAACTTGTTTGAAAACAGCCGAACAGAAGACTACTATACCGTACGTTGTGGAGTCAGATCTTGTGTTTGTTTGTGTGGAATACAGTAGACCCTAATGGACCTCGACTGAGGCAAATTTTATGAAGTAAGGCAGAGATCAGTTTTGATATTGTGTGCACTAGCCAGCGCAATCCCTCAATCCCTCAAATATATTAAATTATATCGAATAGGGATTTGACTAAACTTAAACTCACTGAAGATGTTTCCTGTTAAAAACATGGGATGGCCCGTCAGTTCTGTGAGATGGTTCCCCTGGAAAACGCGGGATCGTCATTATCGCAGATAGCCTCTATATACATGCCGCTAAAACTAAAAGCACAGGATCCAGCTAAAATGTTTGCGTTGCTATTTGTTTTGTTCCACGCAAAAATTCCCGCAAATCAGTCGATAACTTTGTGATCCAGAGCATTTTTAGTTTAGTGACTGCTAAGATTGTTTGTGTTGTAAATTGCTGTGACTGTCTACACGGAGCCTCCTTATTTTCTTATTCATAAATTTGTTGAACATTGAATTTTATATCTTTTTATTAAAAAATCAGGACAAATAATCTAGCCCAGATAGAGACTTGTACTTTGGTATGTTTATCGTTCTTGTGTTCTTCTGGATTATGGCCATTGCAGTTGGTTAAGTGGTTAAATTTTTTTATAATTTTGGAAAAAAAAAGCCAAAAACGTTCAGCCTTCGGTGCTTGTACATAGTAAAATCCTTCATCAGTCTTCAGTGAGTTAAGCAACTGGGTAGAAAGTTACACTCACGAAGGGAAAGAACACTCAGAAGTAGTGTAATTGTAATTGGAGGATGAAGTTTGACAAATCATTTTTTTCCCCCGCACAAACTTTTGATTTTAAATTTTTTTTTGGGGGGGGGGGGGGGGAGGGGTACACAAGCAGATTATCCTTACATTACATTTTACAAAATAAAACTTAAATGAACAACTGAAGGTTTATTCTTCCTTCTGATGTATGCTGGTTGTTCGTTTTTTTCCTTCCCCAGCCTGTTTGGAGAATAATAATAATAATAATAATAATAAACAATTATTGTTTTTTTATCTTTGTCCAACCAGGCATGGGACGGGGGCTATGGATTCGGCCTGAAGACCCTGTACAAATCTGGCTACTTTGTGATGGCCCTGACGGCCGTGGTATCCACCTATTTCGTGTTTGGCATCAAGCCCAGCGCCATGTAAACGCAGAAATGTGATGATCCATTTAATCGTAAACAGCTGCGAGAAAGATGTGGTGGGTACAGTGGAACAAATGGACGTAGTCATAAACTGGACAATGTGAGGGTGTGAATTTTAAAATCTTGCAGACTCTTTAACTTCATCTCTGTTTGACTGTTGATTTATTGGTATTGTTAACTGAATGAGAAGTCAATCTATAGTAATCAACCAACAGTTAAACGAAAATGAAGTAATGAATATGCAGATTTTCAAGACTGGATACCCCCACAATATCCAGATATGTGATTATGACCATTTTTCCATCGGACCTGCTTTGAGAGAGCTGTGATGGATGGCACGGAATGAAGGGATATCGTCTGCGTATTGTCAATGCAAATGTATCGGAAGGTTATTGGTCAAATTTGTCAGCAGAAGACAGTAGGGAGGGAGTAAATCAAGACAGAGCCCTACGGCTGCCATCCCCAAGTCTCAATGATCTACTACAACATGTAAGTTATAATGGCACTTGTTGTCAAAATAAATTGACTAAGGACGCACAAATCATTGAGTTGGTGCTAAAGGGTGTAAGGGCGTCTATACTTTTGCTGAATTCTGCTGGTAAATGTGGCTGTGTGCGGGGGCTTTGGGTAAGGGTTTGCGCTATATTGTGATTTCGGAGGTTGTCACAGCTGATCTATAGACACTTCAGACGGAGACCCGTTGGTGGAGCTGTGACTGATGTGTATCCAAATCTCCTTTTACTTTTACAACAAGCATTGTCTCTAAACTCCTGATTTGGAGGTTCGGTGAAAGGCTGAGGGCTTTCTATGGACGTTGCTTCATTTATTTAAAATTTCAAAATAGTATTACTTTTAATCTCAAAACAGTACATGTATAACTAACAATGGTGTGTCAACATTGTGTTTACAGTTAGACTAGTTTCTTTTTAAATAAATTATTTCATTGAAAGTTGTTGGGGTTTTTTGTTGTTGTTGCCCGTTATTGTCAAGGGGCACAGATGAAAAACTGGAACCTTTTTCATTTTGCAATATATATATATAATAATTGATATATAGATGAGTCTTATGTGGCGAGCAACAAACAACAACCCAAAGAAAAAACTGGTGGCTTGGAATTTCTCTGTGTAGAGAATGTGGTGCTGGTTGCCTTCAGAAAGTGAAAGACTCGGAAGGAAATAAGCCTCACTATGAGATGGGCAGCGGCAAAGGTCGGTAGTTGACAACTAAGCTATGGACTGGGAATGAGATCACTGTAGAAAGCTGTTTTTGTTTTTTTTAAATCAGCTTTGTATCCTAAAGAGTTGAATATTTTTTCAGTTGAAGAGTTCTGATGTTGATACATGTTTTGATGCTTTATGTTCACAGCTGTCTTTGTTTTATCGTCTGGTTGGGTATCTTCGCTTTAAGCCAGTAAAAATATATTGATAGTGTCTGCCAAAATTTTCTAAAACCAAATATTTTTTTTTACTTCGTTGTAAAGCAGGGTGCAGTACATCATCTCAATAAATGGTGTACAAATTCAATGAAGAGAAACGCATGAAACATCAACACGAAATTTGAGTTGCGGTGGTCTTTGATACTTTTATTAAAGGGTTTTTAGCCGCTGCGATATAATCGCTTCATGAGAGGTGGCCAATGGCCCATCAGTGTCTGAAACCATCTGAATGTTCGCACGTTAGTTGTAGTTTAGAAAATTCTTCAAGTTTTTTTCAACCTCCTGGAGCATCAACAACATGTTGTCCTGTGAATTTAAAAGTTTTTCAGTTGTCGTAATATATATATTATATAGCCTATTATGTTTGTGCTATGTTACCTGAATCTTGCTTTCAAGTAATTCCCTCCATTGTTTGATGTTTTTTCCTCTCCACCCGTCAGCCATGTACATCAACAAACTGGCAATGAAACACATCGGGATCTGAAATGCTGACGTTTTTTAATTAAGTCTGGCAACATTTCGGAAATGTTTTCGTGCCGCTGGCAACCAAATGTATAATGTGTAGGGCAATCTGTGAAGTGACCTGGCTGTTTGGCAGTTTGTTGTTCACAACATTTTGGACCTTTGTCTTGGTTTCTCAATAAAAAGCCAAGAATGTCGACCTTATTTTGTTTGATGTCTTCATTTCATCTTTGTTAACAAATTTGTTCAGAAATGTTTCTACCGTCTTTCTGTCGAAAAGAAATGTATATATATATATATATATATATATATTCTCCTTCACATTGTACTGGTACCTGTGGTTGGTTAGAGAAACTAATGAAAGTAGCCTATGTGTGCCAAGTTGCAAAGCTCTATCTTTATTCCTTCATAATTTAGTACACAGAGACTTCTTGAACCCCCATCGTATTTCTTCTTTTGACCAAGTTTGTGAAGTGGTTGTCATCATTTTCGTGATCTAGTGAAATAGCTGCAATCGTTTTGTTCATGTAGTAAGTGGTGCATCCAAATCGAGTTTTCCGTGTGAGTGGTTGGCGGATGCTCTGGTGTGGTTTGCTCCTTCTTTCTTATCACTATCATGCATCTATCGTCCTTATCTCTCCTCTTTTTTTGTGTTTTTTTTAATTTCTCTTGTAACACCTATATGGCCTGATTGTGTTGGAAGTACCGTAAAACACCTATAAAAACGAGAACGACTTTTACCTGAACATCAGAAAAATATTTACACAAATATATAATAAGGGGGCATGTGTAAATGTTTGCAAGCGATGAATTTATTCATGCATATAAATACATATTACATGATATATATATGTTGAAATCGAACTGAACCACACGTCTCCAACACACACAGGCAGACGCACTTTCCTTCCCTCCCAGGACTCAGTGAGTGAGACAGGCCCAGGTGGACAGTAAGGTTCTGATGACGTCACTAGTCTTGACCCTTGCTGTCCCCACCTTGTGCCTCTGTGCCGGTCAGTTTCATAACTGTGCGCCGGTCAGCTTTTGCCACGGCCTGAAACAGAATTGTCTTCATAGATCAGGGGAGAGCTTTTGACAGAGTCAGTCTTGTCGAACCGTGGAAAACACTTGATGAACTATGTGATATGTGGCGTCAGAGGACAACTATTGTTGGAAAAATTGCTACCCTAAACTTACAAAGTTCTGTGTGCTCAGTCCATTATGTACCTAGTTTTGAGACATTTGGCTCACCAATTGTCAAACTCTCGTGATCTAAAGGTATGATATTCGCTTATTATTCAATAGGTCCCGGGCTCGATATCTGACAGCGACGGAAAATTTTCTTCTCTGAAAATTTCTCCTTTCACTTTCACCTCCTTTCCTGCTCTCTAAAACTAACCGGATTCTGTCGTCTGCTGTCGTTTTCACTTTCTGCCCCCCCCCCCCCCTTTGCTTCCTCCTCTGCACTTCAGACTCTTTCTGCAGCTTCTGTGCTGCTACTCCCCGGCTCCTTACTGCTGTCTTTCAGCCACACCCCTGATCTCAAGGTAGATAAAGTCTGACACTTAACCTTCTTGGATGTGGGCAAAAAATCTCGGAGGTCTGATGTGCTAGTTGCGTGCGTTAACAAAAATCTCATGGTGGTCTTAAAACCGATACGAGTAAACTCCGGCCGCCACCCGGGCAAAATTCAAAATTAAGTCATATCAGACTGATAATGCTTACTTAATGTGTCCCGCGCGCCAATATAGCCATATAGATCTCAATTGCGGGCGCCGTAAAACACACCAAAAAAAAAAACTTTTTCTAATGCAATTCTCTGAATGTTTCGAGTGTCTATCACTCGGGGGGGGGGGGAAAATAGGTTTGATACTGTCGGCTTACAGTTTATTGTAAATTATGTTTCACACCACCATCGCCACAATTTAGACCACGGGGTGCAGCCCAAGAAATCCCAGGATATAGCACACTAGCAGGCGGAGGTTTGTGGGTGAGTGTAACTAACTACTGTTGTGTTTTACGGCCCATTCGACTCAATTTAATAATAATAATAAGAAGAAGAGCATTTGTATCCCGCCTTTCCCCCACAACATAGGCCCAAGGCGTACATAGGAGATAAAAAACGCATTCATACTAACACCATACAAATTCATCATGTGCGCACTTTTTGACAGCAACATTCTTTCAGATTTAGGGCAGGCAAGACGCAGACTGCTTCGACTTCGACTCTGCCTTTTTTTGCATACAGAGAAGCACATTGACACAATAAATATGCCATATGATTTAGTACCAGGGAAAAGTAAAACAGAGAGGAACATCGAAGGGAAAGTAAAATGTATAAGTAGGACCTACCAGTGGCGCTTGTCAGGGCCGACCTGGGTTGTGTGGGATACAACATCCCAACGGACAGACGGAGACGCTATTAATCATTTTTTTTTAAGCCAGAAGATTTTTTAAAACCCCACCAACAACAACATTAAAAAACTTCCCCACCAGCGGTTCGAAACCAATCAATTTCCATGAGCAGTAAGTGCGGTATTCATTACGTAAGACATGTCAACAAAATCCAATATGGCCTCCGTATCCATGGAAATGAAACGTTTTTCTCAAATTTGATGACAGTTTTTAAGACTCCTTACTATGCTTGTTATATGTGTGAAATTTGGTAAAATTCGGTCAAGTAATTAGCGAGATAGCCTTCAGGTGTAACCCCCCCCCCCCTTAAGTAGGCCGACACAGTACCAGTTGCTGCTGCTGCTGGCTGGTGATGGTGAGGGACACTCTGGCCTCCGGGAAGCTGTTGTTTGCCTGGTGTTGTCTTTCCTCGTGGTCAAGCTGCTGGTCAAGCTCCGAGGGGGAGACAACTCCAGCGGAGTCGGCCAGGCCTCCTGTGGCTGTCCAGTTGCCAGATTTGGAGATGAGGATGTGGACAGTGGGGGCCACGAACTCGCCTGCCTCGTTGAAGACGTGTTTGTCACTT